GCTCTCACATCGGCCCAGGTGGTCCCAGGGGTGGCCCCGAGGGCAGCCAGGGCCTGGCACAGGGAGGTGACACCAGGGTGGCCCAGAGAGGTGACACCAGGGTGGCCCAGGGAGGGGACACCACGGTGGCCCAGAGAGGTGACATTGCCGAGGTCCAGGGTCTCATGGAGTCTCCAGGTGAATCTCCTCAGGGCCACATGCAGGAACTTTGGGGACACGCGCCACCACACGTCCCTGTGTTGCCCAGTCACAGTAGCCACCACCTCGCCCAGGGTGGCCACCATGGCCACCAGCGCCTCCAGCAGCTGGGGAGGGGACAGGGCAGGTGTCAGGGACCTGGTGGCACCAGGGAGGTGACACCAGGGTGGCCCAGGGAGGTGACATTGCCAAGGCCCAGGGTCTCATGGAGTCTCCAGGTGAATCTCCCCAGGGCCGTGTGCAGGAACTTTGGGGACACAGGCTGCTGCACGTCCCTGTGTTGCCCAGTCACAGTAGCCACCACCTCGCCCAGGGTGGCCACCATGGCCACCAGTGCCTCAAGCAGCTGGGGAGGGGACAGGGCAGGTGTCAGGGACCTGGTGGCACTTGTGGCCTCCTGCGGTGGCCTCTGTGCCCTCCTGGGGTCCCTTTGTCCCCTCCCTGGAGGCCTCTGCTGTCCCTTCTGTCCCTTTGTCACCCCCTCATCCCCTCTGCCACCCCCGTCACCTCTGCCAGCCCTCTGTCACCCTCAGTCCCCTCTGGCCCTCTGTCACCTCCCCCCTTCCTGCCATGCCCTCCTGTCCCCTCTGTCACCCCTGTGTCCCCCCGTCACCTCCCCCCCAGCACTGTGCCGGGATTGTCGCACCTCTTGGTTCTCCATGGTCACTGGAGACACTCCAGGGACACCTTGAGGATGCTCTGGGGACAGTCTGGGTGACAAACACGCCCGGGTGACAGTTGGGGACACACAGGAACGTGGCCCCGCCAGATGGAGGAAGCAGGAAGAGGTGACATCACTGTCCCCCCTGCTCCCCCTACCTGGGGCCAGGGTGGGGTCCCCAATGTCCCCCCAATGTCCCCAGTGGGACCCCGATGTCCCCTGAGTGTCCCCACATGGCCCTGGTGTTGCCTCGATGTCCCCAACAAGGCCCAAGTGTTCCCTGATCTCCAGCTGGGGACACCAGGGACACACTGGGGTCCTGTTGTGGGGGTCCCCCAAGGTGTCCTTTCCCTTGGGGACACCAGGGCCACCCTGACATCCCCTGTCCCATTCTGGGTCACCATGATGTCCCTGATGTCCCCACAGTGTCCCCAACAAAACTCCGGTGTGTCCCTCGTGTCCCCAACACAGGGGGGACATCGGGGGGACACTTGGGCCTTGTTGGGGACATGGCGGGGACATCGGGGCCATGTGGGGACCCTGCCCTGGCCCCACGGGTAGGGGGTGATGGTGATGCACCCTCTTCCTGCTTCCCACATCCGGCTGCACCATGTCCCTGCGTGTCACCCGAGTGTGACCCGAGTGTCACCTGAGTGTCACTGGGACATGTTCACCTCCCGGAGTGTCCCCAGAGTGTCCCCAGTGACCATGGAGCCCGGTGAGGTGCAGCAATCCTGGTGTGGGGTGGTGGGAGGGGATGGGGTGACACGGGGGTGACAGAGGGGACATTGCTCTGGTACTTGATTATTGATTATTGATAATCCCTTGCAGCTGCTCGTTGGTACAATATAATCCATCTGCTCACGTGTGCCCCGTGCAGCCGATTTAACGGCAGTGGAATGGTCCCTGTGACCCCCACCCTCAATTTAGCAGGGTCCCCCCATGCACCGGGACCCCCCCATTCACTGCTTCCTTGGCTTCTGCAATCCTGCATTGGCTTCTGCAAAAAAAAAAATTTCACGAGAATTTTGCTCTGGTACTTGATTATTGATTATTGATAATCCCTTGCAGCTGCTCGTTGGTACAATATAATCCATCTGCTCACGTGTGCCCCGTGCAGCCGATTTAACGGCAGTGGAATGGTCCCTGTGCCCCCCCCCTCAATTTAGCAGGGTCCCCCCACGCACCGGGACCCCCCCATTCACTGCTTCCCCCCCTTCAGCGACCCCCCCAAAGCCAAATCCTGCAGGATCCCAAAGAATGATCCCAAATGATCTCAAATCCCAAATCTTAGATCCCAAAAAATCCCAGATCCCAAATGCTGCTGGAGACACAAAACCAATCCCAAAAAATCCCAGATCCCAAATCCTGCTGGATCCCAAGGAGTAGTCCCAAATTACCTCAACCTCTGGATCCCAAGCAATCCCAAAATTACACCAAATCCCGGATCCCAAGCAGTGTTAAATTCCAGATCCCAAATCCTGCTGGAACCCAAGGAGTAGTCCCAAATGATTTCAAATCCTGGATCCCAAGCAATCCCAAATCACAGATCTCAAATCCTACTGGACAATCAAAACCAGCTCTAAATCCTCTCAAATCCCAAACTCTGAATCCCAAAAAATCCCAGATCCCAAATGTTGCCAGATACCCCAAATCTGATCCTGAAAGATCTCCAGCCCTGGGTCCCCAAACAACCCCAAATCCCAGACCCCAAATCCTGCTGGATCTCCAGAAACAATCCCAAAAACCAATCCCAAATCAGGGTCCTGGCAGGGGAAATCAGAGCCCTGGGTGGGGTAATTGGGCCCTGAGGGGGTCAGTGGGGTCCTGGAAGGATAAATGGGGTCCTGGAAGGGTAAATGGGATCCTGAGGGGTTAAATGAGGGCCCTGAGGGGTAAGTGGGGACCTGAAAGGATGAATGGGGGTAAATCAGGGTCCTGGCAAGGGAAATCAGGGCCCTGAGGGGTCAGTGGGGTCCTGGCAGGGAAATGGAGCCCTGGGGGGTGGGTCCGGGCCCCGAGGGGTTAAAGCCAGCCCCGAAAGGTTCCCTGAGGTCCTGGCAGGGCCAGTTCTGCCCCTCGGGGGAGGATCAGGGCGTGGGGCCCTCCCTCCTCCCAGCCTCGACGCCCTCTGCCCTCAGAGCTCCGGCCGCAGCCTCCGGAGGGGGACAGGGATGGAGCCCAAGGTGGGTACCCCAAAACCCTGGGATCACCCCCAGCGGGCACCTGAGGGGATTTGGGGGGGATTTGGAGGATTTGGGGGGATTTGGTGAAGTTTGGGAATCCCCAGAGCTGGGGCTGCAGAGGGGGGAAATGAAAAATGGAAAGTTCCAGAATCTGGGGAGTTCAGAGGGGCCGGGGAGGGGGAAAAGAGGAGTGGGGTTCCCCAAATTCCTGGGGGGATTCAGGTGGAACCACCCCAAAATCCCACCTGGATACCTGAGAACCACAAAACCTCCCTGAAGCCTTACCTGGGACACCTGGGAAACCCCAAATCCTTGGGAATTCTCACCTGGGACCCTCCAAACCTCACCTGGGAATCCCTTGGGACCCTCACCTGGACCCCTGGGACCCTCCAAATCCTCACCTGTGCAGCTGGGAAACCCCAAATCTTTGGGAATTCTCAACTGGGAAGCCACAAATCCCTGGGAAATCTCAACTGGGGGCCCCAAATCCCTGGGGAACCTCACCTGGGACCCCAAAAACCTCACCTGGAGCCCCTCCAATCCCTTGGGAGCCTCACCTGGGACCCCCTTGCCCCCATGTCCACCCTGCCCCCCACCCCGGACCGTGTCCTCTAGATGTCCCCTGCTCACCCGGGACCCCCCAAATCTCCCCTGCACTCCCCCTACCCCCAAAAAAACCCACGGGGGACCCCCCAAACCCCTTCCTGGGACCCCCCAAATACCCTTTCATTCCCCCTATCACCCAAAAACCTCATTGGGGACCCCCAAAACCCTTCCTGGGACCTTCCAAATACCCCTTCACTCCCCCCCCCCCCCCACAACCCCCCACC